ACAAGCGGTTCTCTCTGTAAGGGCCTGATTATCTATGCTTGCTTTCAAGACCGTGCTAATGAAGACACTACATGCAATGGTATTGACCATCTCTGACCTGCCATGAGCTCTGATAAGCAATTTTAGATATTGGCCAAGTGTGGCTGGAGTTGGAGCCTGTAGTAGGGTGGACCAGGTTTTTTTGTGTTTGGTGGGGTGGGGAGTATCATTAATCACTTAATCACTGGAGCTGGCTGAGCTATTGGTTACCATACCATGTTCATTCTTGGGCTACCCTGTGCTAACTTACCCAGCCATCAAGCTCTTTCATAGCTGCTGTGTTGCCCATTAAGTGGTAGAGCCTGTTGATGGTTCTTGTGGAGTGGACAAGCTAAGGAGGGTAGCTTGGCAAATGTGGATGTGGACGGCAAGAGGGCCCATTCAGTAGAACAGAAGCGATGCAGCCATGTGAATAATGAGAATCTGATGCCGAAGGAAGGACTCTGGATTGTGGGACCCATGGGTTTCCCGAGACAAGCTTCAAAACTTGTGTTTTTCCCAAGGTCAGGAACACCTTGGGAAGAAACTGAAGGTATAGGTGTAAGAAATTCCATCTAAACACAATGCTGCTTACTTAAATGTTGGCATTGGAAATCATGGGACATTGCTAACATGAGATGCATTTTTGCCTAGTGGGAGGAAAAGAGGAAGACAGAAAGATGTAAATGAAGTGGTGATGAGTATTGTCTATCCAAGAGGATGTCAACCACTGGAGAGACTTGTTAGATGTTGGTTAACAAGAGGAGTCTGATTTGATACACTAAGCATTTGAGGTCTAGGCAGATACAGACTGCACTAGCTAATACCTGCTGGTTTATCATCCATCACTGATGCAGTCTTTTTTTTTTTTTTTAATTATACCTATGTGTGTGCCTGTGTGTGCTATGAACACCTGAAAGCTTTATGTTGGTCTTCATCATCCACTCTTGGTTCCCTGTGGTTATACTTGACCACGCTCCACTACCTGTGTTTAAGTTTGTGTGGATCTTGAATCTGCACAGATCCAGGCTTGCTCTGACTCTTCTTTCTTGGTCTCAGTGTCAGGCTCATGAATACCTCATGGGTGGCTAGAAGGTTGTCAGGGCTGGGTGTGATTTCCTTAACTGCCTCCATTGCAACGTCTCTGAGGTATTCGGGTCCTCTGATAGGGGCTGGTGTAGATCATTGCTTCTGTGTACAGATGTGGACAGGTTTCTGCTTTGACACCCAGCTCTTGACATTTGAATCCACAGAAGGAGCAGTCACTGAAGGTCTTTCATGGGACGGTGGCATTACAATCGCTGGCCTTCTGAGCTCCCGTCTCTAGCAGTGTCCGTGTAAATGGAGTCTTTCTGTCCAGCCAGCAACTCCCAAATACCTGGCAGCTGCTTCCCAAATTACTACACAGAGACTCATTAATTACAAATGCTTGGCTAGTATCTCAGGCTTATTACCAACCAGCTCTTACACTTAAATTAACCCATAATTCTTATCTATGTTTAGCCATGTGGCTTGGTACCTTTTGTCAAGACATCATTCTCATCTTGCTTCCTCTCCGTCTGCCTGGCGACTCCTGACTCTGCCCTTCCTCTTCCCAGCATTCTTAAGTCTGGTTGCCCTACCTATACTTTCTGCCTGGCTACTGGCCAATCAGCATTTTATTAAACCAGTTCAAGTGACAAATCTTTACAATGTACAAGAGGGTTATTCCGTGGCATTATGTCTCATAGTAAAGATGCCCATGGTGATCTAGACCAAGGTGATAGTGCTGTCTATATATAACAGTGAAAGAAGACGTTCTGGTTTGCACAGGACTTGGTTTCCCCATTAATGCATGTCATTCAGTGGTAGCAAGACATGTGTGGGTAGTGGGCTGTCATTAGGCATTTTGGCACAGCCTTATGCTCTCACCAGGATGGTTTGCATTTGATGTTTATGACATGATCAT